TGCGCGACCTGCGCCCTCGGCCGCGGCACCGCCTGCGGCGTCTACACCGCCCGCTGCGGCGCCGGGCTGCGCTGCTACCCGCCCCGCGGCGTGCCGCGGCCCCTGCACACCCTCATGCACGGCCAGGGCGTCTGCACCGACCTGGCCGACGTCGAGGCCATCCAGGAGAGCCTCCAGCCACCAGGTAAGGGCGGCCCCGGGCGGCCGAGGGGCGAAGGGTGGGTGCCGGGTTGCCAGCGGTGGCCCCGAGGAGCCCCCGTTTGCGCCAAGCTGGTCGCCGCTCGCTTGGCGAGAGTTGGGGCCGCAGGGCTGGGAGCGGGGCAGGGACCCTGCGGCGGGATGGGACGGGGCAGCCCGGCGATGGGCATGCACGGAGCGTGGCCCGGGGAGGGAGCAGCGCTGAGCTGCACGAGCTCCCGCAGCCGGGTACCAGCGGGTCACGTTTGTGCCATCCTTACCCACCGCTGGCACAGCAGTGCCATGGCCGGTGGCACTGTGCGTGCCGGAGCGGGGTGCCTCACAGGGACTCATCACCTGCCGTGCCCAGCCTGCAGAGTGCCCCTGGGTGACAGGGCAGCCCGGGGTCCCGCAGGCACCCGTGGCCCCTGGGGACCGGTCCCAGCTGCTGGGGAAGCTCCCGTTGCTCGGTGACCCCTGCGCTGCCGCTTCCCCGGGATGCTGCCGGCAGCTCCTGCCTGCACCGCCAGGAGGAAACAGGAAAGAGGCCTCGGGGCACCTGCTTCCCTCGCAGGCGGGCCAGGCTTCGCTCTGTGCCAGGGCTCTGCCAAGGGCTGTGTCCTTCCCGCAGCCGCGCAGGGTAGGGGGGTGTGGGCAGCAGGCAGGGCCAGGCCGGAGAAACCCCCTGCCTGCAGGCTCTGCCCGCACCTGTCTGCCCCAGGACCCCCTTGCAGGTGTTGATCGTGTCCCCCTGCCACCCCCGTGGTGCTTGGGCAGGGCCTGGGGGCCGGGAGTGGAGCTGGCAGTGGGAGTCCAGCCCCAGAGCTGCACAGGTCATGCCGTGGCTTTGACAGTGGGAACGGAGCCGCTCCCAGGGGCTGAGTGTGGAGACCTGGCCCGTGGGGCTGGCCCATCAGTGGGTCTGGGTGCCACGCTCCACCTTCCCCATCCCGCGGGCTGTGATGGGGACCACGTCCCCTGGAGCTGGGGAGCAGCATCCCGCCACAGGATGGTCCACGAGCTGGCCTGGCCCTGTGTCCCCGTGCGGGATCACCCAGAGCTCCCCGAGGGGCAGAAGGGGCTGGAGCAGTGTCTGTCCCTGTCCGCCCCGAGGGCCGGATCCCAGCTCCATTCCCTGCTTGCATGGCTAGTCCATGGCAGCTCCGCCGGTGTCTCCATGGTGAGGAGGGCCCTTCGCGGATGGGCCCCTCCGGCCGCTCCTCTGCAGGGACGGGAGTTGGCCGTGAGTGCTCGGCATGGGGTCTGCTGCGGAGACCCCCTGCCCTGCCTGTCTGTCCTCATCCCACATCCTGCAGGAGCTGTCTGGGCTCCCTGGCCCGGGGCTGCGTCGGGCTGCCAAGGCCTGTTGGTTTTGGCTGTGCCCTGTGTAACGCAGCATTTTTTCCCAGAGCCTTTAGGAAACAGACTTGCAGTTTTTTCCCTTCCTTCATGTGGTGTTTTGGCCTTGCTGGGGACGGGTGGGTGGCCGTGGGAGCAGGGCTCGCCCGCCGGGCACCGCGCCTGCCTGCAGCATCACAGGTGGCAGGATGGGGGGAGCAGGCAGCGGCGAGCCCCTTCGCCTGGGACAGCCCGGCAGGACGCGGGCAGGACCCCCCGCCGCACGTTGCTTGGTGCAGCCGCGGTGGGAACGTCCCGGTGGGACGTCCAAGTCGTGGGTCCCTGTCCTGCTCCAGCAGCCCAGAGCCAGAGGGAACGTGGGGCTGGGGGCTGCAGACCCATCGCTCCCACCACAGCCCTGCCTGGCACAGCGAGGGCACCCCGGCACGGCCGGTGCATCCGATGGGTCCCCTCCGGGTAAGCAGAAGGGACTTAAATGCCCGTTTAGGGGCAGGGGTGTATGGAGCAGGTGCCCCCCGGCTGCACCCATGTCCCTCGGGGCTGAGCCCGTGTGGGTGCCGGGTGAGTGGAGGCTGCAGCGGGCAGCTGGGAAGCGGTTAACGTGACGCTCGTACAGTAAACACTTTGTCTGGGGGCTCGGCCGGGAGGGGGGCTCCGCATTCCAGGGAAGAGGCTGGGATCAGTGGGGGCTGGGCTGAGGCTGGGCTTTCTGAGGGGTTGGGTGATGGCTCCCTGCTCCATCGCCAGGAAAGAGCCTCTCTGCTCTCCCAGGACGCGCAGCACCCGCGGGACGGGACTTTCTAGGAAGCGAGGGAGCGGGTGGCCGCTCTCTGACCTGAGACCCTCTCCCGTGGCTGCAGGTCTGGGGACCTTGTGCAGGACCCTGGTCCCTGTGTCCTGCTCCCAGCCCTGCCAGCTCCGAGCTGGCTCCCGGGGCATCCCGCTGCTGCTCGGGCCGGGAGCCCTGCAACAGGGCCAGCCCTGGGAGGTTCCAGCCGTGGTTTTTCGGCACAGCCTGTGGGTGCCTGGGGGAGGTGGTGGCTGAACCCGTGTGTGGCAGCCGGGAAGAGGTGAGGACATTTTCCCCAGCACACATGATGAGTGATTTAATGCTGGGTAAATAATTATGTCTGGGAAAAATTGACCCTATGGGAGCTGCATTCATCCCGCGTGGTTGCTGTAAGCAGTGGCTGGGACAGATCCTGTTCCCTTCCCGCTTGCAGTGACTGGGAGGGATGGCGGGTGGCTGAGTCCCGGCTGGATGGTGCACAGGCGGTGAGAAGGGGCTGGGTTCAGCCCCCGGCGACATCCACCCCGTATGCATCCATCACTGCCCCTTTCCACCCAGTCAGGGCGCCAGGCGAGGCTGTTGTCCTGTCCCAGCTGTTCCCTGGGATGGGGTCTGGCCTTCGCCCGTGCTCGGGTTTCTCCGGGCCAGGCACTGCTCCTGGCGTGGCTCTGGTTCCTACGGGGAATCATCTGCATCCCTCAGTCCCTCTCCTGTATCCTGACCTCTCCTCCATCAGGCTCACGTCGGGTGCTGAGCTGGGAGGTGCAGATGTGCTCAGCCGTGTTTGAGCATGGCGGGGCTCAGCAGCGTGTCCCCACGGGGTGGGGACGGGCCAGGCTTCCCAGCTGGTGTCCCTGGCCAAGGGGCAGTAGGTGCCTGTGCCCCAGCCACCCCTGTGCCATGGCTCCCCGTGCTTCGCCAGGGCCAGCGCTCGGCAGGACGAGCAGAGACTTCTCTGCGCCGATGCCTGCCAAGTCAAGAGCCCCGGCAGCCAAGCCACTGCGCCACGGCCCTGCCAGGGCCACCCGCAGGCAACAGCAGGGGTGCCGGACGGCAAAGCAGAGGGTGCTGGGACTCACTGTGGCTCATGTGTCGTGTCGGCCACAGACACGTGGATGTGTCCCCTCCGGCCCATGGGGCACGTGGGGTCCTTTGCGCCTGGGCTGGCGGGGTGGGGAGAGCGGGGCTGGAGCTGCAGGGGCCCCTGACACCGGTCCCTCTCCCACGGACACGCGCACACGCCCAAGGCTTCGCTCGCTGCCCCGGGCTCTCCTCCCATGGGAGCCGCGCGGTGGAGCCCGGAGCCCTTCGCTGTTCCCTTGGGCTCGGTGCGGTGAGTCACAAGTTCAGCACGTGACCAACCTCATTTGCAGCTCCCGTTAATTGGAGGCGAAGCTGAATGACTCGTTTGTGTCTCCTGTCCGGGGGCCAAGCAGAAGGCTGGGCAGAAACCCTCCTCCTGCTGGGACGGGGTGGCTGGTCTGGGTGGCCGGCGAGGGCAGCACCCGTTCCCATCCCCTTGGCACCCGCTTCCATCCCAGACTGAGCAGAGTCTTCCCCCAGCCCTCGGCCAGGCGGGGACCCCTGCCTCCGCTCTGCCTGTCTTCCCCTGCCGCTCGGAGACCTCTCTCTGCCAACACAGCCCCAACCGCGACCGGCAGCACCAGAGTGGTGGTGGCCGGTGCGTGGGCTGCCCTGCGCTAGGGCTGCCAGGTGGGGAGGGACCGGGGGCAGAGGTGTGCGGAGGCTCGGGGGCACCCCGTAGGCACCGGTGCTGCCGGGGCCGGCATCCAGATGGTGCTTCCCAAGGGGTCGGGGCAGAGCAGGCTGCACCGGGAGCGGTGCAGGGGGCTGGTGGGTCGGGGGGCCTCCAGAAGTTGCTTTTTCCATGCCTTTGTGCACGAGTGCGAGGAGTTTCCTCATCCGGCTGGCGCAGGAGGATTGCCAAGGGAAGTGAGAGGCTCCTCAAGCTGCCGCACATCGCTTAGCGGGTGGGAAAGTCACCCCCAGGACCGCAGCGATCCCCGCCGTGGGGAGGGATCCTGGAGCTGGTGTCTGGGTTGGGGGACCGCGGGTCCCAGAGCTTCATCTGCAGAGCCGGGTGCTGAGCGAGAGCTGCTTCGCTGCCCGGAGGCACTGATGTTTCATGTGACCTTATGAAAATGTTACTGGCATCTGGTTTTATTTAAGCCGAGAGATTTGATGCTCTAAAGGCGGCTGGAGGAGGGAGGAGGGGTGTTTGTCCGTGCTGGGGCTGAGTGAGGGCTTCCCCCGGGCAGACCGGGCAGCGGTCGGTGCCTCCCAGTCCTGCCTTTCCACAGCGCAGGAGCAGCGCATGGAGGTGGCGGGACTTTGGCATGGTGGTCCTCACCGGTGCCAAATCTCCTGCCCGGCTCTTCCTTGCCTGTCTCCCCGAGGAGGTGCAGGGGGGAGGAAGGAGCATCCCTGCCCGAGCCCCCTGAGCCCCTTGTTGGGCTCTGCCGCCAGTGCCTGCGTTGCGCCACGGCCCCGTGGTTGGTGCCGCTGGGGCTGGTGCGCGCCAGGGCTGGCATCGCTCTGCACAGGGTCCTGGAGGCTTTGGGTTTGTGTTTCAAATTTCAAGGGCATGAGCCATTTCCTGGAAAAAATTGACAGATTAAAGAAAAAGCAAATAACACGAATAAAGGAGAAGGATTTGATTGGGGCTTTGCTGTGAACTTTAACCGGGCTGCTGGGAGCCGGTCCAGGAACGCTTTGCTGCAGGGGAGCCTCTGCGTGAGGTGCTGATGGGAGCCCAGGGCCGGGATCCTGCGGGGACGCGGTGGGCAGGAGGCTGTGGCTCCGACCCCGCTGCCTGCCTGCTGCCTGCCTGCTGCCTGCCTGCAGGAAGAGCCAGTGCCGGGCATAACCCCTGCAGCCTCCATCCCCGATGCTGTGAGCCCCTGGGTGCTTCCACCCATGCTGCACCGTGACCAGCCCCCGCCTGGTTTGGGAAGGTTTTTCCCATTCCTGGGTGCAATGTTGATTAGTATAAGCCCAGCCCCGGGATAAACCTGGGCAGGGAGCCCTGGCCGCTTTCCTCTAACAGCCCAGGCGGGCTGGGAGTCAAAACGCTGCTTGGGCTGTGCCTGATGCGGCTCCGAGCGCAGGTGGAACCCCGGCTCCCTGGGGTGTCCCCCCTCGGCGGAGCGTTAATGGGCCCCAAACCGGAGGAACCGGCAGCTTTTTAAAAATAAAGTCGCGCCGAGAGCTCGGGTCTCATGACGCTCCCTCCAGCTGCCAACATCTGGGATTCGCAGTTTGGCTGCGCTCCTGGCGCAGGCGAGGATGCCAAGCGCCGCCTTTCGGGATTGGCCCTGTGGGAGATTAACTTTCTTATTCCAGGAATTTCTTCTTTCATGTCTTTGCGGGGGCTGTGCCCCACAGCAGAGCACGGCTCCGCTCCTGGTCGTGGTGCCCAGTGCTGCCCCGGGCCTGGCGGGTGCTCAGCACCGTCCCGGTGCAGCCCCAGTGCCCCCGTTCCCACTGCAGCTCCTCAGAGGCAGCTTTTTGGGGGCACTGGGATCTTCCTGGGGCTCCCTGGCTGTGCTTCCCAGGGTCACCTTCCAGCCCTGTGGGTCCGGTGCTGTGGATGAGCACCCGGCGCCTGGTGGCACGTGGCTGGCCGGGGCACAGCCAGACCCTTGTGTGGCACAGCACACTGGAGCAACTGCCTGGCGCTCTCGCAGCATGCGTTTGTAACCCTACAATAACAGACACACGGCAACAAGCCGGTGAATCATGGCTAATGAGTCGTAAAAACTCCCAGGAGCCTTTCCCAGTGCTGCAGGGAGAGCTCAGCCCAGGGCGGTGGCAGGGGCAGGAGGGGACCCAGGGCTGGGGGTGACACCTGTGGGGACCAGGGAGGGCAGCGTGGGGTCTGGCAGCACCGGCTGCACATTGAGCCTGGTGGCGCAAGTTGCTCCACGGGGGCCGGGGCACCGCGGGGGCACCGCCATCCCCGGGGCTGCCCCATGGCACTGAGCCCGCTCCGGTCTGTGTCCTTGCAGAGAAGGAGGAGATCGACCACCCCAACAACAGCTTCAGCCCCTGCAGCATCCACGACCGCAAGTGCCTGCAGAAGCAGCAGGCGAAGCGGGTCAACCACGGCAACAAGATGCGCAACAGTGGGAGCCCATACCACCGCGAGGAGACACGGCCCATAGTGAGCACCGGGTGGCACCGTGGCGGGCAGCTGGCACCGGGCGCCGGGGCGGTGCTGGCCTGGGGAGGGCAAAGTGGGTGCTGAGCACCCCTGGGCCATGCTCCAGCTCCGGTGGAGCCTGGGGCAGGAGGGGGGTTTGAAGCCGGTGCTTGTGGGGCAGCCCCAAGGGTTGGGGTCCCGGGGCGCTGCAGCAGGGGCACGCGCCAGCCCCGCTGCCAGCTCAGCCCCACCTTCCCGCAGGCGCAGGGCTCGTGCCAGAGTGAGCTGCACCGGGCGCTGGAGAGGCTCGCTGCCTCGCAGACCCGCACGCACGAAGACCTGTACGTCATCCCCATCCCCAACTGCGACCGCAACGGCAACTTCCACCCCAAGCAGGTAGGACGGGCTCTCACCCATCATGGGGGGCTGGGGGGGCCGCTTGCCTAGGGGCATTTTGAAGAGCCGGGAGGGGGGATGGACAGACGGAAGGACGGGCTGGTGCTGGGGCACAGCAGGGCACCCGCAGCTCCTGGCTTCGGTGGGAATCGCCCTTCGGGTGTTTTGGGGCCCTCTGCAAGAGCCCCAGGGTGTGATGGGGGTGGCAAAGCCCCTGTGAGAGCTCCCGGTCACCCCAGCCAGGCAGCCCGTGGGGAGGGGGCAGTGGGGGCCAGGCTGGGTGCCCCTCACTGACCTTGTCCCCTCAGTGTCACCCGGCGCTGGACGGGCAGCGGGGCAAGTGCTGGTGTGTGGACCGCAAGACGGGGGTGAAGCTGCCGGGCTTCCTGGAGCTGAAGGGGGACTTGGACTGTCACCAGCTGGCGGACAGCATGTGAGCGCCACCGCGGCGGCCCCGCGCCGTGCCATGTCCAGGACACCCACCGGGGCTGCGTAGGAGAGGAAGAGAGGGGACATGACTGCCGAGCAGCTCCCAGTTGCTGGGGGACCCTGGCATGCACCCCAGATCGCCGCTGTGCTCTGCACCATGGGCTGCCCACGGCACGGGGCATGGCACCGCGACCTGCACCATGACCACTAGCCGCCACTGCCGAGGGGTCCCCGGCACGTGCCAGCGGCACCTCCAACCTGCACGGACACTTGCTTGGACAGATGCTGCCCTGCAGCTGGCGTCAGGCTGCCTGGGTGGAGTGGATGGAGAGCACCCACGATGCTGCCACCCCTCGGTGCTGCTCCCACAGCCGCCGCTGCCCACCCGCTCTGTGGTGCCCCCCTGGCTCTCACCCCGGCCCCTCTGTGCTGCGGCACGGCCGGGGGACCCAGAGCTCGGCGCCGTGGCGGCACCCCTGCCCGCAGTGCCTTGCCGTCCATGCCAGACCTCTGTGCGGCAGCAGGAGAAGTGCCTCATCCTGCCCTCCCTGGCGGTGGGAGGCTGCCCAGGCAAGGACTGGGGGGCCTGGAGAGACCCCCAACACCTCCTGCCTGGGGCCCTCCCTGCCTCCATCTCACCCAAAGCGCGTGCGTGTGATGGGCATCGCAGCCACGCAGAGCAATAAGAGACCTTCCCCCTTCCCGCTGCAGCCCCCCAGCCCGGGAACCGCCTGCCCCACGGCCCAGCCCCGTCCCACTCCCCGTGCAGGGACAAAGCTGGGGGCCACAGCATTTTCCTCCCGTCCGTCCTGTCTCCTCCTGCCCCGTCCCCAGCCGCCGTCCCTGGGGCGAGGGGGGTCGGGCACCCCCAGGTGTGCAGGGGTGCGCCCCTGGGTGCTGGGTCCAACGGGAGGGTTGGGGGACGAGGGACGCCCAGGAAACGCCTCCCAGCAGGAAGGGTTTCTTTTGTTTTTTTTTTCTTCCCCAAAGATTTTTAATATTTAAAAAATGTCGTTGGTGGGATCTTAAAACCGACCATGTGGCCCCTGAGGCTGAAATCCTCCATCTCCGTGGAACGGGGCACTGCTGGTGATGGTTTCTGTCTTCTCTTCTTTCAACTTGGCCAACGTGACAAAACCGGGATGAATTTCTGGAACGTCTCAGTGACGAGATCTGCAGATTTCGCCAGCGCAAAGTTCTCAGCTGAGAAATTGTCACTATTTTTGCAGCTATTTTTTTTCTTCTCTTTTTTTTTAAGCTGGGCTGGAAATTTTTCACCTAAATGTCTTTTAGGTGAGAAATGGCCATGCTGGCTGCCATGGCAAGCGTGCCAAAGACGGAGGGGATTTTGCTGATTCCGCCCCAGACCCACCCCCGGCTCCATGACCGCAGTGGGAGATTTTGGTTGTCCGTGTGGGTTTGCCCCGTCCACGCCTGTGGGTGCCAAGGCCCCCGATGGGAACGAAATGTTTCAGTTTTAGTGAAACACCCGTTTGCCTCTTTGGTCCCCGGCAGCTCCCCGGCTTGGCACGGCATGGCACAGCATGGCACGGCATGGCACGGCAGCTCCCTGGTGCCGGCAGGGATGTTCCTGAGTGTCTCGGCAGGGGTGCAGGTGGGGACAGGGACTGGCAAGTGCTGCCGTCCTGCTGGCCAGGGCTTGCCAGATGGCGAGTATGGAGCGAGCTGGGACGGGGGCTGGCGCCAGGCTCAGCATTGCAGCTCATCGGCACGGCTTCGCCTGGGTTCTCATCTGAGTGACAGTGTCCCCGTGTCATGTCCCATGTCCCCAGGTGCGTGTAACCCAGCGTGGCCCCAGCACCTTCCTCCGCGTGTCCCGCGGGGCTGTGCTCTGGCCCCTGCCCCGCTGCAAACCGCCATCCCCGGCAGGGTCCCACAGAGCTGTCAAGCCGCTGGCTGCATCCCTGCTCGGTGCCTCGCCGGGCTGTCCCCGGCCCCCGCCCCCGCGGCAACCCGCCACCCCCGGCAGGGTCCCACAGAGCTGTCAAGCCGCTGGCTGCATCCCTGCTCGGTGCCACCGCAAAGGATGGGTTTCCCAGGGCGCAGGGAGGTGCCGCTGGGGACCATGGCCAGTCCCGGTGCCGGTCCTGTGGCGGGGTGTCCGCCCCTGGCCCCCTGCCGCATCCCCTGCCTGCCCCAGCGCCCGCCCGGCCGGCTGCGCGTGGCCCCGCTCGGAGGAGGCTGCACACAGCTTCTGAACTCAGTCAATTTGCCAAGATGGTGGTTGGTGAGGACGGGGGTCCCTGCCCCTGCCGCAGCCCCCGGCCCCCCGGTGCCACCGCGCAAAGGATGGGTTTCCCAGGGCGCAGGGAGGTGCCGCTGGGGACCATGGCCAGTCCCGGTGCCGGTCCCGTGGCGGGGTGCAGGATGCAGTGGTAGCCCCAGCCCGGCGGGCTCGGCCACCTGGACCCTCCCCGCTCGCAGCCAGGGCAGCACCGGCAGATCCAGCGGAGCCTCTCCTGGTTTTGGGGTGGCTGGGCAGGGGCTGGGGCTGCCGGCGCTCGCCAGGGCACGTTCTGTGTCCAGCTCCAGTGTTTTATATCGTCTGTCCTGTAGTTTAAGGCTGTATTTACACAAGATCATATACCAGCATAAGGCTCCCCAACCCCAGCGGCGTTTTTCCCCGCCGATGTGATTTCTGCCAGTTCCTCCCGGGCCAAGCCCGTCCCTTCGGACTCCTGTGTAGCACCGACCCTCTCTTACAGTAAACTTGAACCTTTGTATCGTCAAAAAGAAAAAAAAGGTAATTACTGTATTTAATTTTCCCTGTTATTTAATGTGTTTCTATCGAGTGTATTTTATCTTTGCATTGTTTTAAAGAAAAGGAGAGGGGGGAAGCAAAGCAGAGAAGGAGCGCGGGGTCTGTGGGGATCCCACCTGGCTCGGCGCTGTGTTCCTGCAGTGCCAGCCTGTGCCGTATGGAAACGCTCCCCTTCCAAACAGGCCAAATTAAACCAGAGACTGCCCGCGACCTCGGCACCCTCCCGCCGCCGTCTCGAGCCCTGGCAGAGGGTGGAGGAGTGGTGCTTGCAGCCCCGGCCCCCAGGGAGGTTCAGGGTGCTGCCAGCCTGCCCTGGCTCCAGAGCCCCCGCAAACCACATCCCCAGGGACCACCGGCGGGACCGCCCGCACCTCCTCGTCCCTGGGAAGTGCCGGTGCCAGCAGTGGGAGCAGAGCACGCCAGAGCCGGCCGGTGCTCCAGGACGAGGAGTTGGAGGTGTTCACCCGCGAAAGCCTGCCTGGGGACTGTTTGCTGTAGCTACAGGGGCTGGCGGCCCAGCGGCTGGGGATGGCGCCACGTTCCCACCCTGTCACAAACGAT